GCTTATTTTTTTATCATTTTAATAATGAGTTGTACATAGATAATAGATTAAATCTGATTAAAAAGGGCGTGGGTTGAAGCTGTCCGCAAAAGTCTTCAAAAATCACATGTCACCTCCTACCCCGTGACAAATTTTTAAATAACCAATTAAGCTTATTATTATACGTATTTGTAGTACACATATACGTGTGTTTAACTTACTAGTGACCACTTAATTATGAGACAACGATACTTAAGCTCGTCATTGTTGCACCATTGCATTGGCTACAAAATAATGCAACGATTGTCACGCCGGAGATAGACACGATCACAATTCACTCCGGCCAATGACGCTTAACGGCTATTTATACAATTGTTGAGTACCTACTAGCAATGTGTACACTAGTAATTATAAAATGTAGTTTTTTTCTTTTTTACTCGAGCGCTCACGATTTGATATCGATTCAAAAATCTAACTAAAGAAAATACCCTGCCTACTCTATATGGTGGTAATTATAACCAAACGCACACTGATTTTTACCTTTTGAACAATACCGAAATATTGATCAAAATATTACTATTTAATATATTTTAATTTGATCAATTTAACTCTCGCTTAATCTTATTTCTTGGTTAACTTTCCGATGCGGAGCTAAGAAGATATTTGGTTTACAATGATATTCTGTGTTGGGATGAGGGTACAATACCAGAATGTAATCAAGTCTAAATTATTAACTTAGAAGGATTAATCTCATTTTTCTAAATTTTGAAGAATGATACTTAATGTTTTTAACTAAATAAAAAATAGGTACTCTTTTATTTAATTTTAAACTCTTCAAATCGAATATAGGCTTGGTGTAAGAATTCAGCATAGTAAGCAGTTATCTAGAGTTCACATTAATACAACATTATTAAAATTAATTATAAACTTAATATTATTGGACAAATATTTATTCTATAACGAGTACCTAATTTACTATGTATTCGGAGAAAACATTTTCATCGACGTTCAACTGAAAACTTAAATCCGTTAAAATTATAGCTAGGTACTTATATGAACACCTAATGAAAAATGTATTACTCTTGAGTAATGCATTTTGACGAGGGCGTTTGATATTTATGAGAAGAATGTACGTAGTAACACAATTTTCAACGAAACTTATACAAACGCTTTAAAAAGAAAATAAAACAGAAAAAAAGAGTGAACATGTAAGATCTCCTCCCCGTAATAGCAGTCGAGACTCTTATTACGAGGAGTGTGTCTTTTATTCGTAGATTGTTTTTAAAAAATTGTATTAGAAAATACAAAAATACCTAATATGTTTTTAAGTCGGTAGTAAATTGTAAAACATTATTTTATAATAATGATATGATATGATTTACTTTTGAGGTGACATATTATGGCTCAGCCCTGAATTAATTTCTCAATTGGTAAGAAGTATTTATTAGGTACATTTTTTAAGACTCTTCATTGGAACATACGACTTTCGAACAAAAACTCCCTTACCCTTGCAACTTTTTTGTTTACCGACTATAATATTGAGTTTTATAAAAAAAATTACTACACTTCACTCTTCCTCTCGTCCTTAATTTCAAACTTTAATAAGTTTGAAAGTAATCATTCAAAGTAAGCCATTATGTACAGCAAATTGTTCTCAATTAAAACATTTTAATTAAGTATATTCGTTACTGTTTAAGTTTCAAAAGTTAATAGAGCTTTGGAAAATACTTTAAAAAAGAAATATTTAGTAATTTTATGATATTGAAAAATAACATAAACAAAGATGTTTTTCAAAAGAAAAACTACAAAACTGCAATTATTTGTTTTTTTTTAATAAGTGTCTTATCCTTAACCAATCACTCTGTATAAATCCAGATTAGAAAAAAGAATGATGAGATGTGGCGAATCATTGAATTTTTTTCAAACCATTATTCTTTCTTTTCTACTGATAACAAACAAATTCATACTGGGAGTTGCTTTATTAATTTAATTTAATTTATCTACAAATAAATTGTTCAATACTTTTGAATTTTTGTAATGAAATAAATAATTATTAAAATTATCTGGCAAAAAACTACAAAAATTATATTCAAACGTGACCATCTTAAGTAAGTTATATTGTATATGATTTGTTTTTAATTCATAATATACCTATTTTTAAACCGTTTGTCATAAAAAAAAATTGTCGAACGCGTGTATGATAACTATATTACACAGGCCATACAGCTTTAGGTATACTATATAATGATATATAAGTGTATAAAGACCTAAACAATCGCGTTATCCCATGCAAATAGCAGTAAACAGTAAATTGGCAAACAAATATTATTTGACCTTGTTTACAACTTATAAGCATTCCCTATCAGGACCTATATTCGCTATTAGGTTTTTGATTGTATAATACCAATACCATTTTGCCAACACGTTTTATTATGCGTGGATGTCGCCTATTTTTATTTTTATTTTAACCAAAACCGTTAGTGTGTGATATAATATAATAAAAGCCACCAATAATAATAATAACACCAATAAAATGGTATAACGAATAAGGCTTACCGGTTTCCACCTCATAGCATCCTTCGATTCCTACATCGGTATTGTACGTGGGGTAAGGGATGACAGATTTATAACCTTAGGGCCAAATTATCAAAAACAAGTTTTGAAATCATTTTTTTTTAAATTATATTTTTGTTATAAAAGTTAAGAAATAATCATGAAAATTCCACAGTAAGCTCAAATGAACCTATTCCCCGTAATAGTCATGCCAGCTAATAAATTAATTTTTTGGACAAACACGGGAAATTGAATATATTTTTATTTTTCTGAAAGTTATATAATATTATGTTACAACGTTCCGTGATTTGACAAATATGCACATTTTGTTAAAATTGTCTTAATTTGGACATTTTTCGACTGCTTTTACTCGAACCTAGCAGTCATTACCTGTGTGATTTCTGATCGATAAAAATACTGAGCGAGTTATTAGAAAATAAATTATAATGCACAACACCTAAAAAAAAAAAACATACAAATTAATTTGCCCAAAGTTCATTATTATATCATACTATTACTATATTATAACTATAACAGTATATAATTTAATTTGTATAAATTGATTTTTAGACTTGTTATAAATTGTAATAATAGGTGTTGTGCGTCCAGCCTAAACAATAGACATCTCAAATTAAACGGCCAACTTCACAATGGGGTGCAGTTGTGATTGACTTTTTTTTTTATCAAATCCTATTTATTTGATTGCCCGTGTAACCTGAGAAGCGGCGCGCATGTCAAAACATTAAAGTTTCCAAGGCGAACGTGCATAAAAAAAAACCTATTGTATTTTATGTATGACAGTACGGTGTAGGATGTTCCTTAGGGACGCCTAGTCCCGCCCATACCGTCACGCTGGTTTAACTTAGACCCCCCACCCCCATTAACAGTATTAAAATAGGGATACGTTTTAAAGGCGGTATATCAGTGTATCATTGTATCAATAGACGTTAACACAAAACTTCAACGGCGCTAAAGCGTTAGTACAATTTTTCAGCATTTTATTTTAATTTTTTTTAAAAATCATAAAAACGATTGTTAATTTAAACAAACACGTTTTAGACAACATGATATCCTCCTACAGGAAAGGTTAGTAAAAAAAAAGTGTGCTGTGTGTGCTTTTATTAGTGGAAATGTGTGTTTTATTTTAATCAGTCAGCAAGTATTGCGAGCCAAAACAGTCTTATTAAATATCGTTCACCTTTTCTATAAAAATTTATACTGTGTGTTGCAATGCATTCTTTCAAGCGGTTGAATATTAGTTATTACCAAATGCCATAACAGTTTTTGCCGATTATTGCAACCGCAAAAAAAAAAGACAAATGTATATTTTTATATCACACTACAAACACCGTTAAAGTCTCCGGGCTTTTTGTTGAAATTTCATAATTTTGCAAATATTTACAACACACATTGTGCTTGCATATTATTATGCAGTAGTGATTGACTTTTTTTTTTTATCAAATCCGGTAACGTGGGACGCATATGCAATCAATGTGTATACATTAATCTCAACGGATAATTGTTTAGCATGATTGTCAATTAAAATAGCTCATCAGCCGTCTTGTATTTGCTTTGATTTTAAAATGATAACGAATACCTACTTCATATTGACAAATGTATTACAAAAACGACAACAAGTACAACGTTGAGCGGGTAACATTTTTCTCGTTTGCCTACTTCTTCGTCTTATTAAGTGCCGATTCCTTAAACAGCAAGTTTATATTTGTGTTATCCAACAGTAGATTGTCAAAAATGTAACCCACAGCATATAACTTAACGCTTTATTGTTAACCGTTAAAATTATAAAATCATTTCTTATAGTGAATCAAAAACCTTTATCGAAAATATTTTCTAGAGAACTTAAACCGTTTTATTAAGCACCTGCACGTGCTTAACTAAATCTCAAGCAAGTAAGAAATTATGTGGGCTGTAGTGTGCTATTTAATAAGTTGGTTTATGAGCTGATAAATTGCTTAATTGTAATATAAAAATACTATGGTAATTTTCAATGGTTTATTTAAAATTTAAATTAAACAAATTTTCAATACTAGTTAAACATTAATAATAATATTTAAAGCGTTTATACATTTAGTTTGCCAAACTATTTATTTAGTTATCCCAACTATAAATGTATTGTGTTCCCATAATAACCATAATAATTATAGTTGGTCCAACTGCGTATTTTTTGCAGTTTATTCAGTATTGAGTATGTTACAGATATTCCATGATTAAGAAAAAATAAAATGAAAAATGCACTGTTATTGTGTTGTAATAGCGTTGCCTTCTTTTAATTGTCTTTAGGCAGAAATTTGACTATTTTTTTTTTTAGTTGAATAAGTTTTTAATATTTGGGATATCGTGAGACCTTCTGGGACATACTGCATGTAATATAATACGACTAAAACACCAAATCTATCAATACTGTTCAAGCTGGTTGATTAACGTGATATCTCAATTTTGTGTTACAGGAAAAGAAGATAACTCTAGCGAAATTTACCATTCCGCTGGTTCGTCGTATCCAAGTCCATCGAATATGCTTTTGTTCCAGACACAGGTTAGTCATCTTAACTATTATTACGGTAGTCCATAACTATCTTAATTTTTCACTATGCGTTCTCCCGCCGCATTTTTTTCGAGCCAATAAAAAACCATGACGACATTTTATTCCCACGTGATACCTTCGTAAGCCGTCTATGTGAAATCCCTAGTATTTCTGTAAATTATTTTCTTTTATTACAACCACGACAGTTACCACAGCATCAAAGCGCAGTCGATAATACCAAGAACAAATCATAATAATAATTAATAATACTGTTCGTTAAAAAAAAAACAATTGGCTACTTGTTTTAACGAAGTGTAGTTATAATGGTTAGAAAGTAATTACTAATGGATTAAAAAACTTATATACTTACATATAAATACCTGGTCAACAATTAAACTAATTTTAACCCTAAGTAAAAAATAATAATTATTATTATTTAGAAGCTTTTGGCAGTTATAGAATATCAATAGTGCACAGTATTTTTAAATGAACCCAAGTCGCGTGACTGAACGAGGGAAAAAAATCTAACTTCAAAATGGTACTACATATTGATCCTTATTAAAAACTAGTTGATTAAATCTACTTTCTAAATCCAAAGGCCATATGATGTTAAGTATTCAAAATTTTCATTATTTATTTAAAAATGCGATGAATCTACAAATAAACATTTTTAACAAGTCGAATAAACAAAAAAAATGTGTTTTGGCTTCAAATGGTAATATCATAGTTTTATAATCAATTCTATATTTTTGATGAACAATTCCATCTAATTAATTCATTCTCTGAGTTAGCCGACTGCACTGCATAATATTAATTTATTATATTAGTTAAATATTTTGATGTGAACATTCGAGATAATATTACAATATTTTGTTATAATCAGGTATATAAATTTAAGCATAGGCGTAAATATCAATAAAATAAAAATTCTGAAAAAATAATTTTAATAGCGTGTCTTTGTCATGACTCATGACTCATGATCAACAATTGGGTTAATAGTTGTTAATTTATATTTTATATAGTAACATACACATCTAGAACAAAAGGTCTTTTTGTGATTAAATCAAACAATCTTATCCGTATACAAGAGTAAAAAAACCAGATTAAACGATTGAAATCTATTATAGAAATGACTTGTGACATATTTTCTTGAAAGAGTGTGGTTGAAAACAATTATAGAAAACGTTTTTATCATACAGTTTGTTGTAATTAAAAGCAAACATTGTATTGTGTTTACTGAATGATAGTATCATTTACTCTATAAAGAACAGATCTATATTCGATATCATTGTTTAAAAATACTTACTCTATCGAATCGTTTAAATCAAAAACGCCTGAATAATTATTACAGAAAATCAATATTGATACGTTATAATCATTTTGCAGTTGTAGATATGAACGAAATAATTATTTATCGGTTTAACAAAAGCACAGCATTATTGTGCGATTAAATTTCTCACTAGAATATTGATATCACTCGGTCCAGTTGTAAAGTTTTTGAGATAACTGAAACTTGAACACTAACTAGAACTTAAGCCAAGGTATTATATAATATTTTACAAACGATCGAGACCATCCGCTTATTAATGTTGCTATAAATACAAAAAGTCAGATTGAGCTAATAATAGTATATAATATTAATAATAACATATCATATACTATTTTTACTTATAATACAGAACAAATAATTTTCTTACAAAATATTTACTATACAATATTTTCATAACAATATAACTGAATCTGCGATATTTTTATTTTTAATTTTATTTTTACGAACAATGGTATATAACTTTTTTTTTAAGATAAAATAATAAATGACACACAAAATTATCAAAAACTGTTCCTCTAGTTGTGATTGTACTTTCCTACAGATATCTATATCTATAACCACAGTCCACATACCAATATAGCCTACAACCGTGTTTGCAACTAAATCTGTTATCAATTACCATTTATCAATGACAATAAGCACAAATGCATAAGATGTGATAAAATATATATTTATAGGCTTTATGAAGCTCTACGGAGTGAACATTTTTAAAATGTATTGTTTAGAGAATTCGTTGAAAAAAAATGCATATTATGTTACTTGGTTTCAATGTAGTACCAAGAGAATACGTATTGTAAGTTTTTGTTAGCAGTTAGCATATCGTATTTTGAACTTTTAATATCTAGTAAACCACTCTCTACTTCATTAGTTTAGATTATTTTTTCGTGCGCTGATAGAATTGTCATGTGTGCGTGAACTTTCTAGTTTTGGCATGTGTGTAACAACAACGAAGGTAGCAAAATAATAAAATAACAATAATAATAATCAAATTAGTCCCTTTACCAGCAATGGGCGTAAGGGTGGCCGGATTGGTTACGGGCGAGCTGCTACCAAAGTCGCTGACATTTATGAACAAAATGCTTCCCAAGACGACCGTTTCGGACTTACAAACACTGTACCCGCCATACCTGCTGCCCGGTCATGCACCGAATCACGCGGCTATTATAATTTAATAATAACAATAATAATAATTGTCTTACAAAAACACGCCCCTAAGCTCGTCCTCCACCCACGTCGTTTCTATAAAAAATAATCTACATTGTACACAGTGTATGCACATAAAAAAACACCCGGAAGCCGCCATTTTATCGGTCGAAAGCTCGCTTGCACATAAAGTAGAATATAATGTATATCTATCTACATATAATATATATTTATATATTACTGTGTGCTAACACATGTTGACAAAACGTGTAAGTCCTAAGCGAATAATACGCGACATATAAAACCATAATACAATTCATATACTAACCGCTACCTACAAGTAAAAGTCAGATCTATCAAAAATAACTAAAACCATTCATATACAAGAAAAACGAATGTATAACTTTTATGTTTTTATTATATAACGATTATTACAAATATTGTAATATCACTAATATTCATATCCTTCAGAAACTATCTCAATAATATTATAATATAATATTACACATAATTTCTTTCCGTAGTCAAACTATATTTATAATACAATATACAAATTTAGTCAGTTAATCTCTGGAGATGTACTTACTTAAAACATGGATCTTTAATAAAATGTTGTTGAAAAATTGTCGAAATATTGTCTACTATATGACAGTTATACTCTAATAATATTTTGTTTGACAAGATTTTGGCAACATTTCAATATGTTTGCTGTATGAGAAATCATATGTCCAATAAAAAACAAATATTAAATTGTTTTTATTGTAATATACCCGCAGCATTTGTGGCTATTAGGCAATAATTAAAAATACTTTTTAAAATATATAGTTTTTTAAAAAAATATATTTTGATTTGTTATATTTTTTTAATGATAGCAAATTTTATGAAGTGAGTAAAAAAAGTAATTAAAAAAATGTCCAATTGACTTTTACGAATATAAAAATAACAAATTATTTGAAACAAATTAAGGGCAACCAATAATTTCGTCATCTATAATTGAATAATAAATGATCAAACAAAATATTACATTTTATTAAACGCTTCATCTAGATAAAAAAAATGACCGAATAAAGTCCAGCTTTGGTTAGGACATAATCATAGGCGTGTGCCCGAGGTAGGTCATTGTTCACATTGCTGCCTTATTATATTTTAATTGATTTTAAAAATTTTTGGACACGACTCTTTCACGGATATATTTCCCCACCTATAGACACAAACAAGTTTTTCGTCGATTACTTTTCGAATTTCAAAATTAATACAAAATATCATATATAGTGTTTTAAATACGTTTCTCCTGGGCCATGCCAAATTATGGAGTTTTGCTTCAATAATACAACTATACAACATCACAACCAAAATAAAATAGTTGTTCACCTAAATTCCAATGTGTTCGGCTTATAATAATAATATATAGGTAGGCATATATATTTATATAAAATGATATGGTTCTTTTAAATAAATAATATATACTAACATGCATACCAAATTATATGAAATTTTGTGATAGTATGTGTTTTATTATTATTAATAGTATTATCACAATAGGAGGTCCAAAGTGTTGTATAATTTTTAAATATTAAGAAAACAGCATAAGGTGAACGACCCGATCATCATTTATTTTTTTTTTAACTTTGACAAACACAAGAGAACGTCGTCCAACTATTGTTGGCATAATTGCAATTCTATCTACTTGGATTGCAGTTTTGTGTATGTGTGTGTATAAACCGGTTGCAACGATGAAATGATACTGGCCGTCCGATAAGAGTGACAGGTGGAAATATCTCCCAACACAAGCGGCACCGTCGGGATGAAATTTAGGCACTTCGTTATAATTGATTGTACCATTATCAATAATAACGTGTTTATTATTATTTTCAATCTTTTGACATATTGCATTGCACAACATCGTTGTATTATCATAGGATTCGTATAAATCGTACAAGACAGGCTGGGCGGATTTTTATCTATATAGTGACGTAGGTATGTTTTATTTACTCGAATAAAATACACGTATACTACCTATGTGATATTGTAATATTTAAATGCACATTTTGATATATTATTATTATAATATTGTGTTTGTTACAATGTAGAAAATCGAATATTATCATTATAATGATGTAACTGATTAAACCCAATGTTGTGATACTATATTTTGTCGCGCTAGATGTCGAAATAATTGCATACACTTAATAATTGACAAAAAAAAATACATTTAAACGAAGGATATGTATATAGGTACTTGTATTTAATGTGTGTATAGCACAAGTGCTGTTCCTTCGTTAGCTTGATATTCTAGCCTTCGAACCGTTTTAGAAATATACCTCTGCTATAACAGTGGGCACAGTTACTGTAATATTGATGGTAGATAAAAAGCAATTTAAATATTAATTTGCATCTTCTAATTTTACAATATACAATAATACGAACCAAACTGATTTCTCTTATCCGTGTATCGATGTTATTAAAAAATAAATGTAGACAAAACCGTTCCTCCAATCGGTATGGAATAGTATACTAGCTATTGACAGTCAAAGTGATA